TCGACGGAAGGAAGTGTGGCGAACGGAGAGGATTTGCCTTCAGCTTAGCTCTTGAGACTACAGCCGGGCGCCAGAGTTTTTCGTGGCGTGGTGGTCGAGATCGAGAGGGAGGGGAACTCCTCGAAGCTAAACTTTCTGCCCCATCCCCCCCTCTACTATTGGCGCAAGCCGATATCCAAGACTTCCGCTTACATCGTTATAAATACTTTTTCTCTCTCACTCACCTCTCTTTTTCTAACGTCACTGAAGTGCGCTCCTACTCTGCCTCCCTCTTTTTCCCGTCATCATTAATTTATCCGATCGCATTGCCGTCCGAATCCTAATCCGCTACAGCAGCTCGCACCTCGCGGGTGGCATCCTCGGCTACAGAAAGGGGGACGTGGCTGGGGTTGGCCCGTCGCGCTGCCCATCCAGCCAGGCGCTAGCCCGGCCGAGCAACTTCAAGAAAACGATTTAAAGAATGTAAAAATAACAAGTCAGTAACAAACAAAAAAAAAGTGCAGATGCTCAAGATGAAACCGCCTGTGCCTCCGGGAGGCTGCAGCGCGGAATTAGACGCGCTGCTCGCGTCGTCTGCCTCGTTGTCTCGCGCTGTGGGGCTGAGTGAAGCGTAGGGAAGTGGGGGGTGGGAGACAAGAGAATGCAATCCGGGAGCAGACGAGAGAGAGAGAGAGAGAGAGAGAGAGAGAGAATGTGGCTGCGCCCGGGGGGTGGGAAGGGGTGTGGGCTGTCTGGCCGGGCTTAAACTCCTTTGTGCGACGGTGGAACTACAAACTCCGCTCGGCGTGCACACTCGGTGCTCGGTCCCGCCGCTGTTTCTCTTTCTCTGCTTGCGCGGCCCGGCGCAGCCCCCCAACCGACTCCTATCCCACAAAAGCGAAGCAGCCGCGACTATGCAGCAGCAGCAGCAGCAGCTCTGCGGGTGAGACTACGCCCACCGCTAACTGCCGCTGCGTGCCCGCGACCACTCGACTCCCCGATACGGCACAGGAGCCGCCTCCGGAACGCACGTGTGCGCATTCGGTCCCGGTGCGCCCTCCCACCGCCACCCGACCCTCCAGCCTCCTCCCGTCTGCGCCCAGAAAATGGTTCGTTCATTCAATGGAATGAAAATATGACTTCTTCCTTTTAAGGGGGAAAATTTTTATGATAGGACAAGGGAAAACCGCTTACAGTTAGAGTAGCGGAAAAACATTTTCCATATTTGTTAAATTTCCATTTAAAATTGTGAATGTTCTGGGGCTCGGCGCCTGCGAGACTCTGGGTAGACCAACCCGCAGTACACGCGTGCACTGAAGGCACGATGTTGCCTACCCCTCAGGCGCTATAAGACCATGCATTGGCTAGCTACCTCCGTGAAGCTTGCCAGATGACGCACGCATTTTCGAATGATGCCAGCACAATAAACGGCCTTATTTTAAATTCAATGCGAGTTTATTGCGTGATCAAAATTTACACTTCTCCGTTGTGTTTTGTCTTTTTTGTTGCGGTGTGTGTTCTTTTCCTCTCTGGTAGGTGCAGCGAGTTCTCTCGGCGGCCTGAGGGGCAGGGCCGCGCTCATATTACTCCCTCTGAAAACTTCTCAAATCTCGCCGTGCAAATGAGAGCGGCGCGCTGCGGCCGTCCGGGGCTGGTCGGCGACGTCTGCCACCGTCCTCTCCGCGTCGACACCGCCTCCGCCGCCGCCCCCGCCGCCTCCTCGCCATTCTGTGAAACTTTTATCAGCGTGATTATAGAGAGGAATTTTGCGGAAGGGGATGGGGAGGGCAGAGTTCGACGCCCACCCAGCCGCGCCCTGACCCTGCACATCTCCACCCACCGCCCCCGTCTTATTCTTACTTCTCCTTATCCCCCACGTCCATCGTTCCGTCGTATTCAATTCATCGGCATTTCGTAGAGACGGAGTCGTTCGTTACGTCGTTGAGATTTTGTCGAGCCTTTCCCCTCACTCTTGGGTTTGGCGCTGGTTATGAGCACCAGCGCTTCATACCGGCTGATCCAGGAACACGCAGAGGCTACTCGCATGGGTGTCATCGTGGCTCCACAGCTCCATACCTCCATGTGTTCATATGATTGCGCCATGGACAAACACCTGCAAAGATAACACCCCCCCCCCTCACTTCCCTATTTTTCCCCCTTCTTCGTCCCCTGCGGAGCTCCACGTTGTCGTCCCCTGAGCGACCGTCGTGCAATGCCAAGGCAAACTGTTGGCATTTCCATGTGGGTGCCCCGTCCCCCCCCCCTCCTCTCTCTCCCCTGGTCATGCCAGGCGAGCGAGCGAGAAGGGCGGACGGAACGGTTTCCATGATTGCATATCGGACCCCTCCCACGCCTCCCCCTCCCCTCCCCCTCCCCTCCCAGCTGGATTTCCCTTTGTCTCGCTAGCCTGCGGCGGGGAGCGGGGGCGTGGGGCTTACCGTGGCGCGGCGGGTAGCGGCGTTGAGGGGCGTATGCTCAATCTCATTACATTTTGTGCTCCATTGAAGCCTGCGCCAGACGTGCTAAGGAGGCCTAGCTCGCTAGCTAGCTCGCCTGCGTGCGAGGCCTGCTATGAGCCTGCTGCAGCTATCGCCGCGCCACGCCGCACCCGCTACGCCCACCAATTCCGCTAACCCGATCGCATTCAGAGTTTCCCAGAGAGTCCTCTGATCGCTTTCCTTCCATTCCAAGAGGTTCGTTTGTCTTTCAGACTTCCCTCTTAGGCGCCCCGCCCCGCCCCCCTTTGTCGCTACAGCGTCGCGACGCCCCAATCCGTTTCGAGACAACGCGCCAATTTGGAAAGGAAAGGAAACGCAACCCATCCGTGTGTTGCTACCCCCGCTTCGACAAGTGCAAAGGTTTTGGTCGATATGACGATGTTCTTATCTGTAATTCAGTCTCATCTTTTGTCGATAGTATTTTTTATCCGCTTGTGAACTTTGTGTCAAAAGAACGGACACCGACACGACAGTTCCTCATACATGATGGAATCAAGTCGAGAAACGAGATGGGTAAACGTTTATTACTTTTTTTTTTTGCGTCGGTGAGATGACTGGCAACGGTTGTGACTGTTTCGTCGCTACACTAAAGAGAAACGAAAAGAATTCCAGCTCTAATATTAATAAAAAACAAGGCAAGAAAAAACTGCGTTGCTATTATTGCATGCGAACAATGCCATAGCTATACATCGCGAAAAACTTTGCACCCCCGCGCGCCGCTCGGCTCCGCGGACCCCCCGGGGGTGTTCCTGTGGGCCGCGTGCGGTAGGGGTGGTGTGGTGTGGCGGGTTGGGAAGGTCTCCCCCAACGCCCCGTAGGCAACCCGCCAGCCAGCCGCCAGCCCCCGCCGAGCAGCAGCAGCAGCACCAGGGCACAGCAGAGCGCGCCTTATTTCAAACAGCCACAACAGCGGCGCCGCGTGTTGTGTTCAAAAACAAAAGGAGAGACGCCGTTGCGCTATCGCCAAACCTCAGCGCCAGCGCCCCCTCCCCAACCCCTCCCACGCGAGCCAATAACAGTTAGGAGACGCTGGAATCTGACTGCGAGTGGAGTGCTTCGCCCGTGCGCGCGATCTCGACCCGACGACCCGACCGATACCCGCCCAGTCATCTAGCTACCACCCCTCCCCGTGACTCCATCCCTCTCTCTCTCTCTCTCTCTCTCTCTCTCTCTCTCCCTCCCCCCCCCTGCCGGTATCCTGCACTGCCTCATCTCGGCTGGTTGCTATTTCATTATTTGCCTCGATAACTGGTGTAACCCTATTATACTACGAAATGGCGAGGCGTGGCAGCAGCGAGGGTGCGGAGCGAGGGGGCGGTAATCCTACTCGCTCCGACAGTGGCGATAATATAACAACCAGCTCGGCTGATGAGAGCCGCGCCTCCGTCGCGTGTATTCTGTTTGCATTTTGTGTTTTTGTTTGTTGTTTCTTTTAATGGACAATGTGCCGTTTTCGGACATGCCTCGCACTGTTGGCCGCTCCATCATGAAACGCCGACCAGGCCTCGGTCCAGGCGCGCATTAAGAGCGCGCAACCCATAGTCTGTGAAGTCGAGCTGCTGATTGTTTTTTGTTATTTTTAAGCCTGGGGTTTGTAGGATGTGCTCAAACGGAGGCCAGCAGCCTTGCGGTTCGGGGTGCACAGCACACCCCGCCCGCCCGACCCCCAGAGCGGGGGCGGGGGCGGGGACCTCCTCCGGGGTCGACCCGGTCACCCCGGGCCCTGGTTCAAATACACACGGAACTGTTTTCCTTACCCGCTCCATTACTTTTTTTCCCCCCACACGCACCATGCTTGTCTCTGTTCGCCGGCCCGCTGTACTCCATAGCCTGAGGCCGGGCTCAACGGCGGACACACAATCGAACCCGTGGGGCCTCCAGGACCTCCCCCCCCCCTCCCTCCCCCCCTGCCCCTCTGGTCCGCCGCTGGGAAAACAGAGCTGGTCCAGTAAATGAGCGCCAGTCCCCGGCGGGGGCGGCGGGGGCGGCGGGGGCGGCGCAGTGCGAGGCTCGCTGGGGGGCCGCCGGCTGGCAGGGCCGGGCAGAGCCGGGCAGAGCGGCTGGAATCAGATTTTTGCTTTATTTTCCCAGAGGGGGAGCGAGGCTGGCGCGGCCGGCGAGGCCCGCCCGGCCCTCCCATCTCCATGTGGAGTATCGCACTGCCTGGCACTGCGGGCCGGCTTTGTGCCCCTGACAGCTGCCCGGCTGCAGGGCTGCAGCTCCCCGCCCCGCCCCGACCCGCACGTACCACGCCACGATACGACGACCGATCATCACCCTGGGCACTCTGTGCGCTCTGACCAAACACGGTTCTCCAATCTTCGTGCCAAAATCTCCGCCTACTGCCGTTTTTCGTTTTCTCCAGTTTGCTTGAACAAGGAATATTTGTTGTGCGTTTTGAACCTTTCGCCCCTTTTCTTTCTGACAGAGTTCCCCATTTCCCGACTGCGCCAAACCCTCTGTTTACTTCCCTAGCTGTGTGTATTCAGTGTCCTGACCGCTCGCTCCCTCTTGCTGTTGCAGATGCGGGTGCCCTGGCGGGACCCGGAGCGGGGGCCCAGCAGGCGCAGGGTCCCCCAGGAGCAGACGAGCCGCCGCCCGGAGGGCTGACGCCGAGGCTGACGCCGAGGCTGACGCACGGGCTGACGTCGCTGACGCCGTCGGGGACCTGTGATCGCCGGGGACAGGACTCGTCGGGGACCTCCCCTCCCGGCCGTCCGGGACCCTCATAAGTATGTTCGCCGGCAAGTTCCGGTCCTGGATGGAGGCCCACCTGGGCCGGCCCAAGAAGAACAAGCAGCCGAAGGACAAGAAGGGCGCGTCCAAGGAGGCGGCCCCCGCCCCCGGCGCCGAGGGGCAGACCACACTCACCGACCTGCCGGCATCCTCGCATGTGAGTCGAGTGCGAACGCCAACGGTTTGGGTCTGTCGAACCTTGAACCCCAGAGAATCTCCAGAAAACAAAACTCACTGGCTTTGACGCACGGTTCAGAAACAGTAAGGCTGTTTCTGTGCCTTCACCACAGTGACATCCGCCTTGTAGGCTAAACTTGGGAGGGATCGGATACATCCCATTTCTGCAGGTTCTTACACCGATAACAACGTAACCACACACGAACACTCCAAACGCCATTACAGAATCAGTTTTGTTTCTTTCTTCTAAGTCATGAATATTATGGCAGAGTGACAGGTAATTCCCTACTTCTTCCTTTAAGAATATATCACTGGGAAAACTGAGAACACACGATAAACTTCATGGCTTGTATGCGATCTCATTTCAGAGAGAGAGAATTGCCCCCATCGGCGTCCCGTCCCCTGTTGCTGTTAGCGGAACGGAACGGCCGCGCCGCCACCGCGTTTAGCGGCACGCGTGTTGTTTGGGGCCTAACTGTGAAATATAGCGGAGCGTGACGCAATAACGAAACGCCCTCGCTCTTTTTATTTATTTTTTCTCTGTGTAACTGATGTATTTTTCTGCGCCTTTATCGCTATTCCGAAATGACTATTATAAATATTGTTGTTATTATTTGTCGGTTGTATGCGGGCTGATGATCATGGCCTTGCTCTAGGCCGGCCGGCAGGCTCAGCAGCAGCAGCAGCAGGCGCCACCAGATGTCGAGGGGCGAAAGAGCGCGAAGGGCGCAGGGGGGGCTCAGCGGGGCTCAGCCCGAGGCTCAGCCAGAAACGCGGTATGATTTACGGCGTGGCACGGGCTGGCGCGGCGCGTGGCGCGGTGACCGGTCTCGCTTCTTAGGCCGAGGTATTTACTCGCGACGGTGGGGAGGGGGGTGGGGGTTAGAAAGAGATGCAAAAGAATGGGCAGCACCCCTCCCACAAACTTCATAAGTAGTTCTCTCTCTCTCTCTCTCTCTCTGTCTCTCTCTCTCTCTCTCTCTCTCTCTCTCCCTCTCCCTCTCCCTCACTCACTCTCTCACTCTCTCGCTCTCTCGCTCTCTCTCTCGCTCTGACAAGTCTATAGGCGGGACTGTTGTAAATCACGCACGATCGGCCGATGTCAGCAATACGGTGGGGACGGAAATGCGGGGATGCGAAATAACCGGAACATCCCTTTTTATGACAAATATCGATAGGAAGAGTGATGTGGTCGCCGGCGATTTCTCCTCATTCTACTGGACAGAACGGGGAACTTGTTGTCGAGAAGTCACTCGATGCATTTATTGCGAGTGCTCCTCAACACAATCTTTACAGTTGCTCCCAAGAGGCGACGTGGAGGGAGGGGGAATGGAAAGGGGGAGACGGCTCGAAAGCAGCAGTCCAAGGAAAAACACACCACCATCACATCAATTAATTAATTCTTCCTCTGAAAGTCCGGGAACTCTTTGTGGACATTTGACTCGGCAATGACATTCGGTGGAAAGCAAATTGAACCAGCAGCAGGGTCTGAGTGGCATGGCATAGCTCCAAGCCTCTGTGTTTGAGGTTCGTCTTTTAGAGTCGCCCTTTGGGTCGGAGCGGTCGGGACGCGTCTCTTATTCCCAGCGCACAGAATTAGGCGTCCAAACAGTTCCCCGTTTCCAAAATTTTCTAGAAGAATCGCAACTTGGTACACAGAACACATCATCATTTCAAAATCTTCGTCATTTTTGTGGTTACATGAACAGCAATTTATAGCCTGCTGCCTTCTGCTGTCTGTGCCTACGTGACTTGCCTCACCCTCACAAAAATGATAGTTTTGATTATTTTTTTAAAAAGTCTGCTTGGAAACAAAGCTCATTTATTGGTGTTTTTTGCCTTTTTTTCGAGTGGCTATTTTGCAAACGGGGATAACAGCAGGGATCGGGGTGTTCACCGTGGTGTTCACCGTGGTGTTCACCGAGGTGTTCACCGTGGTGTTCACCGTGCACATCTTCCTCCTCACTCGCTCTGCAAACACTCTCGCCCTTGTCACGCCGCGCAACCGGACCTTGAGTTGTTCGGTTGTTGCCGCCGAGGTTATCTCCTCGTCGTTCGTCTTGCCGTCCAGCTTTTTATCAGGGATGCGATTCGATCGGAGAAGGCGAGTCCCCCAGTCCCGCGGCGAGTGTGCGTCCTACGGCTCGACCCTTCGTGGGCGTTCCCTCAAGATAAATCTCCAGTGGCGCGACAAGAAATGCAGTAATATCACGGC